CTTGCACACCGTGTCAGCTAAGTACTAAACTTTCAATCTAGCAAAAAAATGAGAGTCAAAGGATTTGATCGTAGTAGCACTTTAAAACGGACAGTAATCCATGGAAATAAACGACTACTCATAACGCAGGTATATCAGCGTGGGCTTTTAACCTTCAACAGCCTTGGACTGTGGTAATATTAAAAACTATAAACTGGTTTGGGAAAACCGGCCATACACAAGATAAACCTTAAGAATAACAATTTTTTGTAAACAAATCATGTACTAAGTTAACCTCACTGTACAGTTGACTTTCAAAGAATAGACAGAAGCGTTGCGTCGAACTCTAGAACGGCTGGTAGAGAACGAAATATAAAGACGAGGCAATGGTTATAAACAACTTGTCAGGTTTTGTCCGATATGCCTCTGACAAAAATTGCCGCCGTGACAGCGATCCTTTAATTATGTTGAGCGGATTATCTTTGATGAACTTCAGTTTCATGTTTTATTCAGTCCAAATGTAGTTCATGTTTTTGTTACCCAAAGAGAACCGTTTCTTTCAAATTTCGGCATTACATTTAGCTGCATATGTACGCATAATTAAAAAAGAAAAGACAAAAGGAAAGGGAAAATTTCTTTGATAACTGATCACATGACCTTTATTTGGGAAACAAAGGCATACAAACCAGGGGCGCAACGAAAGAATATAGTTCAAAACCACATAAACATAGCATTTTGAACGTACTTTAGTATTTGAACGGTAGATAAAAGGCTTATTTTATCCCTAAAAATTTTTCATCTGTTCGGTTTCCTAGCTGAAAGTATAGTGATCCGAAAATTATAAAATCAAAATTTACCTTTTCGAAAATTTCAACCAAAAAAGGCTCCCAAAAGTTCTAGGTGATTTTTTAGGGTAAAATCCGTTAAATATGGGCAGTTATACGATTTTTTGAACTTCAAAATCCTAGGAGAGGCAGGCAAGCAATAATTTTTCAGAAAATGATCCGAAAATTCTAGATCTCAAATCGTCTTCCGAACAGATAATTTTCCCGAAAATCGTCGTTGGGTTTCTGATACAAGCAAGCAGTTGTGCTTTAGTTGGTTGAACATGAAAGTTTTACTAAATGCAGTGCTCACCTTTAATGAAAGCAGTAAGATGTATTATACTTCAGTTTATTATGCCACACATACTTCCTCTTTCAGACCTCGAGTAATGGAAAAAAGTCGGTAAAATCTTAATCATCTCAAGACCGTCATCCACGCGCACTCTGGATTCCACATTATAACACCAGATTAAACCACATTTAATTTATGTATTTCTCTCATGCTGTGGGACCCACGATCACCCTATGTCACCCGACACATATACAGCAGTGGTAATTCTTGCTATTTGGTCGCAAAATTGTCTTTTGGTCAAACATTTACAAATACAACCAAAAGTTTCGAAAAGAGTTTTGCTGTTCGAAAACCGGCAAAAAAGTGAAATGTAGCGTTTACGTCATAGCTGCGAAAATAATGATTATAAATTTGCCAAAATTCTGGCATTTTCAAAGTGTTGGGGAAAAAACCAGCAAAGGTCTCGGTAAAAAGGAAAACGAGGTGCCCACACAGAAAAAATTCTAGTCGCGCAGTATTTTGCTACAAAGGCAAGTTATATATCAAATTAAAGAAAAAAGACTAAATTACCTTATAAAAGATTTTATTTCATCGAATTTCAAAAGGTGCTTAAGTTTTTGCTCTCGAACTCAAAGTATCGAGTTTACACTGAAGCTCCAGCCCTTTCGCGTTGTTAAACATTCACTTCCTTTTATTGCATCTGATTGACGGATAAAAGACCTAAAAAAGGTGTGACAGAAATTTGCATATGTCTCGTATTAGCGGAATTATTGCATTTCAAACTAAGAAGTCGAATCTCGAGCGCGATTTACGCAAAGAAACTGACATAAAATGAGTTACAAAGGGAAATCGGAAAATTCCTCACACTCTTTTTGAGTCTATATCATTATCCATCATATCTGAAAGTTTCAAAGCGATAGCTTAAAACCTGTCCCGACTGGAGGTCGGAGAATTTGATTTTTGCGTCTAAAATAGAGTGAGAGAAAATCAGCTCTAAAGATTTAGCGCGGGATTCACGCTTGGATGGTTAGCTCAGAAAAGGCTCATTTTAGAAGAGTTAAAAAGCACTTTCTGATTTTCTTTTTCTGCCAAAATAAAATTTAGGACCCACTCATGCCAAAAGTAAAAAAAAAAAAACAAAATCGAGCAATGTACTAAAATTTTCATTTACCGAGACCTTAAGAAAATTTATTTATTTCAGTGCTGAATTGCTTTCATTTGTTTTCTTATCCAGATTGTTCCAGTTATCACTTTGAAAAATACCAAGATTTACCAACCAGAGGAGCTCACGCCGTGGAACATTTCACCATTAATGGAAGTCTTTTTCTAGCGTTCGCCAACTATAAAAGTGACACCCCCGAAAAATATAACACAGATTCTTTTATCTACAAGTTCAACGATTTGACTGGAAAATTCCTTCTTTATCAGACCATAGGCACACATGGAGGGCATGACGTGGAATATTTTACAATTTCTGGCGAACATTATCTTGCTGTTGCTAATGTTGAAAATGAAACTACGTTCAGATTGAACTCAGTTATTTATCATTGGAATGGAACATTGTTTGTTGCCTTTCAAAACCTTGCAACTAAAGGAGGAGCCAGCTTTAATTTTTTTACAATAGCGAAAGAACCTTTTCTTACCGTATGCAATCTCTTTGATGATGTTACGCGTAGTATTAACTCAACCATCTACAAGTGGAAGAACAACATGTTTGAAAAGTTTCAGGAGATAGCGACAGAGGGATGTCGTGGAAATGATACGTTTGTAATTAACAATGAAAGCTACATTGCCTTTGCAAACGCCGCCTTGTCGTCAACAGTAGTTTATAAGAGGGCTGGGATGCACTTTGTCGAGCTGCAAAACCTTCAAAAGAAAAGTGCAATGAATGTAAAGTCCTTTTACATTAATGATGATGCGTTTCTCGCCACTGCCTCTCGACCCGCACAGTCGTTCATTCACAAGTGGAATGGAAGTCAGTTTGTCCTAAATCAGACTATTCCTACTTACCGGGCCAGGGTCCTGCATCCCTTTGTTATGTGCGGTCAAACATTTCTTGGCGCGGCTAATCGGGGTAGGGTTGGCACCAACCACATAAAGTCAGTGGTGTATCGGTTCTCTCAGGACCAGTTCACTGAATACCAGAATATTTCAACTTTTGGAGCTATTGATATGACGTCATTTGAGTACAAGGGTTATACTTACTTGGCAATTGCTAATTCAGGAAATAAGAACCAAAGGAACATTAACAGCACTCTGTACAGGTGGACCTAAAAAGATTGCGTATTCATTAATTAGAGAGGCCTGGGACTAAGGTGTTTACCTGTGGAAAATAAATTATTGACTATAACTTTGGCATAGATGATAGCGCTGAATTAAAATTTGGCACACATCACATCATTGTCCTTAACATTTTAAAGTATAAATATTGTGTTGATAAGTCACCTGATATGTCACCTGATCATTTTGTTAAAAATCGTAAATTATTGACCAATTGGTGGCCGTTTTAAGAAAAGGAATCGAGCAATAACATTTTTCTAATTGATATTAAATATTTCTAACACTTCACGTTTGGAATGACCGTCCATTGCACTTCAATAAAAAAATTATGAGGGAAAACGTTAAATGCCCAAATGTAATTTTGAATTATTTAAAACTCTAATTTAAAACTTCTTGTACATTCATTCTAAACGTATAACATTAGGTATGTTTATCCTCTTTCAGAAATACTAATTTGTTTACTTACAAAGTAAATTCGCCACCAATTCGCCAATTTCCTTCATTTTCAATTTTTGGTCACGTGACATGTCACGTGATCATAATTAAACGTTAAGGCACACGAAAACCTCAAGGTTTACTTTTGGGGAAAAATTCATTTTGTTCTAGGTCTCTTAGTGAGAGATATTGCCAATCATTGATAAGTTCCGAAAACACCTTTGACCCAGGCCTTAAACCCCTACTGAGAGGTGAGAGGGGGCCAATAGTCGGCTGTCTGTCAAAACTTAGTTTTCGATGTTTGTCGGTCTTCGGTAAATTTCTGTTAATGAGTAAAAATGCATCTTAGTCGTTATGTAACTCACTCAGGTAATGTAAACTCTATGCAAAGTGTAAATAATAATAATAATAATAACTTTATTTTTCTAGGGTGACACTTGACAGTATCAAATACTGATAAACTGGTCGCCCTCAAAAGAAATTAAAAATAAACCCAAATACACATAAATAATGAAGTAATAAAACTAGGAGATTTAACAATTAAAATACGAGTTATCTAAGAATAAATATAATATATAGGAGAATAAAGTAGATTAGCCTAAGCTACAGTAAAGTGATGAACATCAAAATACTTAGACAAAGACTTCTTTAAAATTTCTAAACTAGAGCTACACTTAATTTCATTGGGAAGTGAATTCCAAAACCTAGTAGCTGATACTTGAAAAGTCCTAGCACCTTCTGATTCTCTTTTATACTTCGGACAAATTAAATTCAAAAACCCATATCTACTTTGTCTTTCAGTAGAACGTATGTCGATGTTTCGTTTGAGTAATTCTAGCATATAATAGGGACACACCCCGTTCAAACGTTTATAAACTAATGCGCACTGATTAATCTTAGCTTTAAGAAGAAAAGTTAGCCAATTGAGTTCTCTAAACAGATCTATACTATTTGCTCTAGTATTAGCATTGACAATAACGCGTGCGGCCCGCTTCTGTAGCCTGAAGACCTTATTTCAATTTTCAACGGATGTAGAACCCACACACTAGAGCCATACATCATGGTTTGTTTTATCATGGCATTGTAATAAAGAATTCGTTGATCTAAAGGTAAATGACGCCTGATATTTTTTCAAAACAGCAATACGCTGTGTTAGCTTCTTACATAGATTATCAATATGCTCATTAAAATTACGCTGAGTGTCAATAATTACACCTAACAGTTTATGAGACTGTACTTGTTCGAGTTCGACCGAGTTTACGTGGACAGTGAGCTGCTCATCTTCTTATGTAGACGTTTGCCAGCTACTAATATAGTTTTACTTTTGGACTCGTTAAGTGCCATTTTATTTTCTGTGGTCCATTGTGCAACTTTACCAACATCAGCTTAAAGAACTTGAATTAAGGTTCCAGGTGCTGATCTATAATCAACATTAGCACTGATAGTGGTATCATCCGCATATATGTCTACTGCTGAATGTTTTAGTATCTTTGGTAGATCGTTTATTGCGGAGCTCTCGCGCGCGAGGCGCGGGCCAGCAGAACACCCTGGGTAAGTAAATCTACCCATCCCAGAAAATTTGGTAATCACGTGACCGTACACCAAACTACCGTCCGTCCGCACCACAGGCATACCAATGAAAAATTTGGGGTAGTCTGTGAGTGCAGTGAGAGTTTTGGATCCTGGTAACGAGGTTTTTTTGGCGCGAAAACGAATGGTCACCTCGTTTTGTGAAGCATAAAGCCTGGTTTCCATATGATCGTCCCGATCGTCTGAACATGTTTTGAGACGACTGGGACGATCCGGAAGATCCGGACGATCATATGGAAACAACTTAGAAGTTCAGCGAAGTCAACTCAGAACAAAAAGAATTTTTTTTTTTTTGTATCAGTTGACAGAAATTGTTTTTACATTCGTATTTTCTAGAATTTTCATTCATTTTGTCCTCTAGTTTGGAGTATAGAGAAAGAGAGAGGCAGAGAAAACCGGAAAGTAGGCGGCAAGCAAGCCATGTTCAACGAGAGAGAGAGCGGCAGAGAGCCAGAGAAAGGAGGCGAAACTGCACCGACAAAACACGGGTTACGTCTTTCGTTTTTTGTCTTTTAAACTGTCCCTTTTGACTAACATTAGGAATTTCAACGTTCTGTTCATGGGCTTGCCGCAAAGTCTTTGCCAGCAATCCACATTTCGTGTTTTCGAGCGCTCGGAAAGAAGGGACTCGTCAAACCTCAGTGTTACTGGCAGCAAAGATATTGGAATTAATGACTGACTTGCAATGGTCACATGTTTATAAAGCAGCTTTTGATTGTGTACGCAAATGGATACAAAATAGCTGAAACAAACTTTAGTTAGACCAGACAACATTACTTTCATAATTTATGAATTCTTTTGCTATCTATTTTAAGCAATACGCACGAAGTTTCTAACGATTCAAAAATCAGTACATGAAGTCTGAAGTCGGCACTGTATTGACCCAATTTTGATTAGTGATTAGTCAAGCGATCATCCCGTAGAAGTGATTCAGCAGGAAAACCCCCGTTAAAATTTATTTAATAAGTCGCTTGCGCGACTAAACAATGTCTCGTCTTCTCCATTGTCTGCTTCCTGCCCGATCGCAGGTTAGTGCAATTACAGTCGAACCATCCGTAAGGCCACCAGCCAAAATGCGAAGATTTGGTGGGTCGCTTACGAAAATCAAACCGCAATTGTCTCTTTCGAGAAGAGGTGACGAAACTGGCGATACACTTACTTTTTGGAAGAGAACTTATTGCATGTAAAGTTATGATATGTGTTTTTCCGTGTTGTCACTAACTCATGTAGTTCTTCGTATTCTCCGAGCAGCGTAGTACATACAGCGAACTTAGAGATCTTACAGTGTGTCTAGTGATCGCTGAAAGAGATTAAAAGAACGGAAAATTGCGTAACCGTCACCCTAAATAGTGCTCGTTTACAAGGAATTCTAACGACAGGGCTTCCTGTGCAAAAAAAATTTGGTGTTCGGTTAGATGTGTTGCTTATGGGAATTGCTAGACTGAGAGCAGTCTCTTTTTTTCTCTTTTGAGTCACAGTATATCGAGAACACACTTGAGAGGGGATCCGGGGGGTACTCCCTATAATGGCCTGTACGCAGAGACTCTGCCCGAAGGGGGCACCCTTTTCAGGTTTCAGGTATATGAAAGGGTAGGGATTTCACGAGCGGAGGTACATGTAAGGGTAAGGAAACCTGATATTCGGTTGATAAAGGACTAAAAGGGCAGTTAAAAGGGATGCCGCGCTCTAAACAAGGTATTTGAAAGGGGGACCATTTGCCAGTAGAAGGAATAGGAAAGGGGTACCTTTTCCGTCAAAAATGGTATATAAAAGGCCAATGGGTTAAAACTCCATGGAGCCTCCCTGTATAAAACGAAATTAGGTAGCCTCCCGTCCCCTCCCCCTCCGGAGATGGGAGAGGCGAAGGCGCTAGGAACGAGCCAAAATTAATTTGCATAATTTTACTTTTCCACTCGTCGCACGTGGCTCTTGGGAGTTCGTGCCACTGGTTACCCTAGATACATATATTTTCAATTTTTTTTTAGAAAGGTAGACTGTTTGACATGCCAGCTAAATATACGGGAACCGTAATTACGTCCCTTAACTCAAACGATAGTCCATCCTGTGGGGTCATTAGCAGCTACTTACAGGAACAAAATTTACGATGAATTTTTTTCATCAATCTTGATTATCACTTATGTCCTGTTGATCGGTGGGGGAGGGAATGGAGAATCCCCTTGGAAATACGTGAGGAACACGGATATAATAACAAGCATGCTATGGAGCTAGTTTAACTGCTGCAGCAGACTATTTAGGTAAAAAGCTCTCTAAGTTAAATTGCATATTTCTATGGTTTTGGGGGAAAGAAGGAAAGCCGACACTGTTGAATTACCCACTTTCTTTGTTTTTATTGTATCTAATACCATACCATTTAATACAGGGTGTTATTTTATTCCCCTTCCACTCATATGACCATTCAGGAGCCCATAAGCTCCTGGCTATTACAGTACCTCTTACTAGTTCTTATCTTAGATCATGGTGTTGAATAATGCCTAATACGCGTTAAGCTTCTTTAAAAAACAAAACTACCCTTAAACCTTGAGGACGACTTCCGTTATGGTGACTTCCTATCGCACAAAGACTTTCCAAAAATCGCCAGGGGACACTCCCACATTATAATCGTCGCATTCCCACCTGCTAGATGGTGTAAGAAGCCAGTGGTAAGCTACCATTACAAAAGCAGCGTGGTTGTATAATCGATCCTGATCTCTTTCATGCCCCCATTTGCCAACTTTGTAAGAACCTCTTTGGTATCCCCAATCCTTGCAGGTTCTTGCTAACCGCGAGTTATCATTGCTCATGATCACAAACGAGCCGCAAGAGGCAGGCATCACATCTGTCTCACCACTGAAGTATTTCACAGCAGCCTCACCTTTGCTGTTAGCAGCCGTGGTGATGTGAAATGTACGACCTCCTCTTTTTTTGCAGCGGAATCTTATCCGAGTGAAATACAAGTGCTTCCTCAGCTCCTTCATGGCGCTTTTTGTAAGTACCATCTCTTTGCTGCTTACTCCGCGGTACGATGTCTTAACTGGCAACTGAGTGGGAGATGAACCGTGCGAAACAACGTTGGATACAAGAAGCCATCCCCCTGAAATTCGATAAATGTTTATCATTGCATTTGGTTTATCAAGTCATGTGGGCCAAAACAAGCAGTAATGTTCAGTTCAAAATAATTCACACGGCGGAAACCCAGATGTAGCCTCCCATGGGCAGGAACGCGTGACGAACCCCTAAAAACCTGGGAGGCTACCCGCTGTGAACTTTATCAATGTTTTACAATATTACTCAGGCGAACTGTACAGTACCGCAACTGATCCCGCGTGACCGTAAGTGGTCCTCAGACCGAAAATGATCCCCCAAAATGGACCGCAAATGATCCCCATTGTCGACCGCAAATGATCCCGAGAGGAAAATCCGAGAATGGCCTGGACTTCTAAGTTACTGGTTCATCGTGTCACGTTTATTATCGCAACAAAACGAATTAATTCAACTGAATTAATTTAACAAATAAAGGCCAAGACTGAAAAAAAAGAAACCTTGAACATTACACAAATAAATGCAAACAAAAAAAGAACTTAAATGCAACCAGTAAAACAATAGCTCTGCTTAATTGCTGGTTAACATTAAAGCTTAACTGAACTAAACCTCACATACTATAGAAAAATTAGATGCAATAAGAAAAAATTGCTCAAATCCGATCTGTCGGATACTTCGTATGAACTTTAGAAAATGATAACTTTTGTAACCGTGAAAATCTTTGAAAACGACCCCAGATAAAAAGCTCGCTCTAGTACACTGAACCCCATTAAGATAATTCTTTGCTCATGGGTACAAAATGTTCCACTTAATCGTTCCTTCGTTTCTCTTTCCCTAATGTTGTATCTTTGTAACTGTCTGTGTCTCCAGCAGTAAAGACACGGAAAATGAATATACAGGTTTGCGCCGACAGGGTCCTTACCACTAGACGCATCATTTTCACTAGTTGTAGTTGCTAAGCGTATTTCGAAATAAACCAAAAACCTCTACAGTGTGATAAATACAGGGATCATATTCCGGGGTCATATTTCCCTATTCCTAGGCGTTAAAATGAAAGAAAAATTTCCTTCTTAACGTCCTTCCTGTCCTAAATCTTCACAGCAACGAAACATCAAATGCTTGAATAACGAAAGGAGAAAAAAGTACAAAAAGAAACTGTTTTATTTATTCATTGTTCTACGCGATGTGCAAACTCTCAGCACATTCACCATCCATGCCTAAAACAGTATTCCAGTCCTCTACTTTTCACGGGATCCGCTTGTGGTCGACAATGGGGATCATTTACGGTCTACTTTGAGGATCGTTTGCGGTACTGTACAGAACTAGGAACCTGAGACTAAGAAATTCGTGACTCGCTAGGCGCTTGCTAGTGTGAAATTGATACTAAAACGAGGCTTGGCGCAAAAAATGCATATTATTATTCATTCAAACAACTTCTCCATGGTAACACTTAACAGTTATAAGAAAAATTGATAAACTGATGGATTTCACGTTCCTGTTCCTCGGCAAATTCAGGATCCAAGGATGCTTTGTCTTGAAGATATTCTTCAAGTATGAGATGTAGTTTTGCTGTTTTGGCCATGTTTTTAGGTATTAGATCAAGGTAGGTATTTAGAATTTCCTGAACTTACTTTAGAAAAATGGGTTTCCCCTAGCTTCAACTCAAACCATACCTCCGTCAGTTGTCATGTCACAATATGCCTTAAAAGGACTATTAGTCCTTCCAGGGTCAATCCAGTACTCCCCGTCGCCATTGGAGATACCTAAGTCCTTGATTTCTTTGCAGGATTGAGCGGGATCGTAGGAAAACAGCCCGCGTGTCGCTACAACAAAATAGATATCAACATTACAGATCAACTGTGAAAAGAGACTCAAAATCTGACTAATAATATACAGGTAAACGGCTTCCCGGATCTTGCTTTATTCATTCAGATGAGCAGTGATTCCTGTTGCTGGAAGTAGAAGTAATTTAGAGTTGAGGCTACTAGGGAGGAAAATCATTAAAAATAATAATGCATGTGAACAGATTTCCCGGCTTAAGCCTGTACGTACTGTAGGCTAATTCCAGTTCACAGCTAAGAATCCACGACAAATGTGTTTGCCTCAGTCTAATAAATTAAAAGCAGAGAATGCGATAATTGCGTGTTGTACTGAGATATTTACCTTTACACTTCTTGCCATCTCCCTTGTAATTGGGTTTACAGGTGCAGGTGAAAGACCCTTCAGTGTTCTTACATAACGCATTTCTGTCACATTTATGGATTTTGCTTGTACACTCGTCGATATCTAAATGAAAATCATAAACTGCATTTATTTTACCTTTAGAAGGCAAGTAAACTGATAATTCTTCCTTTACATTCTATTCTTTTAAATCTACGTTACAGATGAACGCGACGGATTGTGTGGCTATGGTAGTGTTATAAAATTACCTAGACAATTTGTTCAAAAGCTGAATAAGGCTAGCCGCTAGATAAATCACCATCCAGTAGATAGCGCAGTCAGTTTTACTAATACTTATCCACTGTGTAGTGATTTATCTGATGCAAAGCGCTATCCAGCGTTTGAACAACCGGTGCCAAGGAGAATAAATACAAGCAATGGAATGAACGCACGTGCTGGATGTATAAACTATATCGTTAGGTGATCAAGAACTTAGGGTGGATTTCCACTGCCGCGTGATATTCATGTGCGTACGTAAGTAAAATGTACGCGTGGAAATATAATAGAGGTAGTCAGGGCCCTGGAGGCAATGTATGAAAGGCCGCGCGTAAAAGTTGAGCGAGGTTCAAGTTTTACGTTTACGCACAACCTTTGATACATAGCCGTTATTTTATATACGTACTTAAAACTAAAGAGCCTACGCACGTAAAAATTACGCGACGCTGGAAAGCCACCTTTAAAGAGCGCTAGATAGATACCTCTACACTTCTTTCCATCTCCCTTGTAACCGCGATTGCAGGTGCAAGTAAAAGACCCCTCAGTGTTCTTACATAACGCATTTTTGTTACAGTTATGGGTTTTGCTCTTACACTCGTCGATTTCTGAAAACAAAGACAAAATTATAAAACACTGATTTCATGCGCCGAAAACAACAAGGTAATACCTTCCTTGACATTTCCTCCCGACTGTCCTTTATTAAGACATGTCAGACCTCTGGGGGCTTTTTATTGCCTTCAGTCTGAATTGGGGCGACCTTGAGGCCTAAAAGTGAAATTTTCATTTTCGAGTCTTTTTGAAATCAACTCAAACTTTTACGTTATTACCAGTGAAGTTCTTAAAGTCAAAACAAATATGTCCCCAAACGGAAGTTCGTAATTGTTTCGATTGAAGGAAAGAAAATTCGTGTAAAAGGTTGTTCCACACATTAGTGCAAATATTCTTTTACTGCTTAAAATTCCGATTAAATACCCACTAAGGGCTAATTAGAAAGTTTTGACCACAAAAAATCATAACAGTTCTGTGTATACACTATAAAGCATATTTATTTAGTCTATAAATAAAATCAGAACAGAGGACAACTAAGTTGATCAGTTTGCGAACAAAAGGGCAAAATATGGAAGACATTTAAAGCAAACTTCAGTACTTACCAACACATTTGCGGCCATTTCCAGAGTATCCAGCTTTGCAAGTACATTTGTATGAGCCCGCAGTATTCTGGCAAGCAGCATTCACATTACATCTGTGATAGTTAGTTGTGCATTCGTCAATTTCTAAAAGAAATCACGGTGTTTCATTCACTCACATGTTCTATAGTTGATAACCTTGCTAAGTGCTTATTTTCTGAAATGATATTCTCAACTTGAATTCATCATAAAACTCTTGAAAAGAAAAAGCGAAATTTCTTTGAATTTTACCAAACACTGGACACAATGCTTCCACCTCACGTTATGACACCTTCACAACTGTCTAATAAGCTCGGTCGCGAGCCCATTTTTACCTTGACATAGTCGGTCAGGTTTGAAACATAAACTGAAAAATAGTTAATAAAAGTGGAGTGCCTTCGAAGCCCTACAAACGTCTTTATTATACCAGTATATATGTTTTTTTTGGTTACCTTTTTTGGACTCATCCGATGTTGTGAAAAGTTCAATAGCATTCCTATCATTTTGATCCTTTTCACCTATAAAATCGTAGCCTGTGTACGGACGCCCCCTCCCCTCTAAAAGGGCAAGGGGGGTCTGTACACAGGCGATAAAAACATTGCCTAACTTTATTCATTCGCATTTTGTGAGAAAAAAAGAAGATAGCTACCAACATAAACTGAAGCACCTATGTTAAAATCTTAAGCTTTGATTCCGTTTGCCAGCTTTCATAACCAGTCTTCTCTACCAACTATGACTGAAAGATGATACTACATTCATGCGCGCTAACATTGGGTGGTTTTTCTGTCGTTTTGGCTACATTTCTAGCATGAAATATTGAAGTGAACCACAACCCTTTGCAGAAGATAAGATTACCTCAGGTGAGAACTAACAGATCATTTAATGTAAGTTGTAAAACGGACCTGATGACCGCTTTTACCTTGAACACAAGTAAAGTTATAGCATTTATCGCAGGACACATCGTTCCAAGTGTAGCCATCATTGGCACCCAGAGTGTGAACACAGTCTTCGTTTTTCCAGTCGTTTGGTTGTTGCGGAGCCCAGAACCGAAAACTGGTTATTTCCTTGTTTTTCCAGACAAATGATCCCTCAACGCTTCGGTCATTAAGTCCAATCCATGATCGCTCTCCATTATGACGGTGCTGAATGTAGACATTTTCTTCTTGGTTGTGCACTGTTACCAGATGTGAGTTCATAGTTGAACAGTTGGACACAGCAGTCACCCAAGGTGCGCATACAGAGCTTGTTAAATAGCAGTATCCATTGAAATAATCCCATCCAGATGGACAGATGTCTGTGCGTATACAAAGTAGGAATTAATGAACTGCAAAATGACATTGCTTAAAAAGTATAGCTTGAGGTGCAGTTATGTACTTCGAACATATTTGTTATTTCCGGTTTTTGTGATTAAAAAAGGAAATGGAAAAGCAGAAGCTTTGTGTTCAGGACAAAATAAAGGCAATACATAAGACAAAAACAACTGCAAGTATTATAAAGCACTCCATTATACACATTAATATGTATTTGGAAAAGGGGATGAACGTTGTTTTATATCATCACCCGAATGCATTTTTTTTATTTCCTCCAGTTTTTGTGCATTCCTTTTGTGTATTGCTTGTATTGCTTTTTTTGTTATTCAGAGAGTTGGTAAGTACTGAAGTTTATGATTAGTTTTGTAGCAGTAGTACCTGACAAAACTGTGTACGTTACTGACAATGGGTCATATTTTGCTTCATATAATTCTTTGACACAAGCACGAAAGCATGTCTTGTTGATGTACTGCAAGAAAGGGATGTTTATCAGCTCATTAAGTAGTTCACACAGACGGCTGACGGCGTATTTTCTCCCTTGCTAGTAGAAAAAAAACTATAGAACAGTTCAGGTAGGTCTTGACCAGAAGACTTTCCATATTTCTCAGTTTGACGCATGTTACGAAGTGATCAACCCTGTTCAACAAGTTTGCATGACAGGGCTTCAAAGGGAAGAGGAAAGAGGACAATTGAGTGCGCGTTATTACATGTCAACAACTTAAACCTCTCATGCGATAATTGGTCAACTGCTGTCAAATGTTTGGAGGCGAAATATGTCGCGTTCACGGGAAAGTAGACCGCGCGGGTCACGGAAACAGCATATAAAAATAACCTTCATCGCACGCGTGCGAACTTTCAATAGATTTCAAATAATCATCATGGGGTACAGGGATTCGCTCTCTTAGCTCATTCTCTCTTGCGTAACATCAATTTTAGTTTTCTCATTGCTGTTTGTTTGACAACATTTGCTTACCTTCTGCCATACAGCTACACAGCTTTTTTTAAACACAGTTTTAACGACTTTCCATAATTCATGGCCATTTTACTAGCCAAGGGTTATTCCTGATCGTTAGTTAAACGGATAAAATTTAACTTTTGAGCTGTTTTTTTGCACGTTTTGTGTTCTATAAGCTGTTATTCTCAATAGAACGCTATCTGTATTGTAAAATAGAGAGTGTTAATTGCAGTCATTCGTATTTTCGCAAGGTTTTTAAACATGCACACAACACATGTAAGTGTGGTTGCAAGTGGTATGTTACACAAATTCATAAAATAAATGAAAAGAAAATAATTAAATAAATAACTAAAAACATACCTCTACCCACTCAGCTATGCTGTTATGAATTGGACTCTGACTTCCATTTTTGGTGGAATGATTGGCAGAAACAAACACATGTGGAGTTGAGTTATAAACTTTAGTAAAAGTAGCCCCCTGTCAAAAGAAATTACCTAATTGTAAAAATTCAGTCTCTGACATTTATATAAAGGTAAAGACTTGTTCCGCATTAGGGCATTTATAATCTATATTTCATTTTCATTTAAATATTCACTGAAGTATGACAGGCAGCCTGCTAAACTGATTAAATGCAACTACCATCACTAGAGACAGGATAGGGCAACCGTTTTCTTTTGCTCTCTGATAGTAAATTTATTCAGTAAAATTAAGTGCACTGTGACGGGAATTGAAACCAATAAGACTAATGAAAGGACTGGAATACTGACCTTGCAGAAGGCATTATAATGACTCTGAGCGGGAGGTTTATCATTCGAAAAGTAAATCGAATTGTGTTCTGAGAAGGGAGGCTCGTCAAGATATGAAAACGCTAACCAATTCTGAAATAAAGTAAATAAATAAATAAGAATAGAAAGAAAGAATTCTTTTTCAGTCTCACGTCCTAACTACCAAAAGATTGTGTCAACGTCGAAAATAAAATATAAATGGTAATCTCTCAACAACGTTTATATAAAACAGCCACCGACATCTTAGGTTACAAGAAAGCAATAACATGGTCAGGTTGACAAAGCCGGATGAAGAGGAAACAGATGGAGGGAAATATATTTTCAAGCAAAAAATCGTGCATCTCTGCTGGACCAACTGCTGGAAGCGTAAAAAAGCGAAAAGATGAGATGGAGAAAGATACCAGTCTGCTGCACTTAGTTTCCAAAGAAAAACGCTGTTCGTTCGACTGCATGAGATTAGCGTTACTTACAACAACAACGTCTTGGTGTGATCCAGCGTAGTTTTGCAATTCTCTCAAGCAAACTTTGCAGGATGATTGTGTGACATCTTCAATCCATATGCTTGCTGCGTCACGTTTTAATCCTGGATTGTAATGCTTGGCAGTCACAAATACCGACGGTATCACAGAGAATTTTCCCTGAAAAATAAATGCGAGTTAGGCAACTCTCAACTCTTAGAAAGCTACGAACAGGAATTAATTTCGTATTTTTGCAAAAAGGAACCCATGACATTTGATATGCTGGAAATTGGTAAAAGAATAATTTGTACTACAGTGACATTGTTCGACTATTAATTGGTAATAAGTGTACGGCTGCACCAGAACGACAAATCACTGCTGATGCATATTGAAAACGATCTGTTATTAACTGAGTGAACTCAGTAGAAGTGAGGCGTTTCAAAGGATATGATCTTGAAAAGAATGGAAAGGACAAGAAAGCCCAACAAAGGCCACTCACTGTAGGAAACCTGACAGTCGCACAAGTCGTACCAGTCCACCACTGTGACATGCGCACTTTACCAGTCACGCCACCCACTGGAGCACCTTGGTACGCCATCCAATCAACTGTCACGTTAGCATACCACTTTCGTTCGTTATATCCTGCCGCCATCACACAAGCAGTGAATCCGTCGTTATTCACATTTTCAACCCACGATACTGCCGCGTCATGGACATACGATTTGTCACTGGTATCCATATGATTGACAGTTATCTGCACTTGAATGGGTTTGTCAGGGTAAAACACAAACGGTTTGAAATGAATGGCATGACAGTGAGAGTAGCCCAAGGATGGAATATGTGGCATGTGGCGACGACCACGCTGAAAAGGAAATCCTAGAAAACACATCTCAAGATGAACTATAGATTAGTATGACAAGCATGCGGAGCAAAGGGCATTTATCCAGAACTTAAAAATGTTAACAGAGCAGCAAATGAGTGGTTCTAATAAAGAGGGTTGTTACTCTCTACTATAGAAGTCCAGGAAACTTCACACCGGACAATGTATCGCTTGTCGCTGCATTAGGTAAATAGCATGGCAAGCAGTGGAGAGATTAGAACTTGCATCCTGAGCAGAGCTACACGGTGGCAAATGGTGAAGCCTATAAGCGCTAAAGGAAAGGAAAGTGAACATTCACTGTAACTACTACTTCTCGCAAAGAAAAGATTCAGTTCCAGTTATGCTTAAAAAATATATAACTCTAGGACTACTACTACTACTACTACTACTACACTACCACTACCACTACCACTACCACTACCACTACCACTACCACTACCACTACCACTACCACTACCACTACCACTGCCACTGCCACTACCACTGCCACTGCCACTACCACTACCACTACCACTACCACTACCACTACCACTACCACTACCACTACCACTACCACTACCACTACCACTACCACTACCACTACCACTACCACTACCACTACCACTACCACTACTACTACTACTACTACTACTACTACTACTACTACTACTACTACTACTACTACTACTACTACTACTACTACTACTACTACTACTCCTCTCAGAGAGAAGAATCAGTTTTAGATTTCTTTCAGTGATACATATATAAAAAAAACAAATAATTTCGTTGAGTATTAACTGAAAATGCTTAAATATAAGTGTATCCGCCTCTTTTTCTGACCAGTATTCTTACTAGCATTGCTCCTGTGCATGACAAACGTTTTAGCAAAATTACATAAAATTCTGTACTTCCATAAAGTCATGCATCTATCGCCGTTTTTCCCTCCAGATTACATGGGTAAGTAAATAGCTCATTCGAAAAATTCACTAAGGGATTAATACTGAAATCTAATAAAAAGAAAAATCACTTTTTAACAGATTCAAAAACAATTGTACTAACCTTCACAGCTGCCAGGATGTTGAACGGTTAAGTTTAGTCGATGTAGACAAACTTCTCTTTCAAACAAACATCTGTTGTCGTACGTTGTGCCATTTGATGAGCAAACGGGATCTTTGTAAGATGGGCAGCTATCCACACATACACAGCGTGCATCATGGGGTCCAAACGCCTTACAGAAGCTGTGATAATAACACGTAACGTCTATGCAGGGATCCAAGTCTGAAGATAATTAAGCAAATGACAACAGATGGATTTAAAGCGCCCATAACTTAAAAAGTTATTTTTTTAGAATTGAAAATGCACATTACTATGAGAACGTGGAGAAAAAAAAAATGCTTTGAACACAATGTTATTAAAGAGAATTTTTTGACACGTTCAAATTTACCGCCACTTTGGCACACCATTCGTGCAAGTCTTCACTCGGATGCCTCCCGGAAACAAAGGGGCTCTAACGTATATTAAGAAACTGTAACGTAAATTAAGGAACACGTGACTTTAGATACAAGAAAAAAAGTATAGATTCTACAAAACTTTCGTCCAATTTACAAGCTGAAACTGCTTTAAGATGCCAATAAGATGCATTGCAGGTGGATGCAACAACACTGGCGACTCTAAGAAAAGGATAACAATGCACATGATCCCGTTTTTCAGCTCAGTCAACCAAATCTACAATCCTCAAAAAAAGAGATAACAAAAAAATAGCATCAATTAGAGAAAAAAAGCTCTCCATGAAACAAATTCAAAAGATTCATGTCATAAAATGTACTTGATACACTGTAGCATACAGCCTTTACCAAGGTTTTGATATATTTTTTACGTACCTCCAATCACCAGGTAATCCAGTTGTACGATGTCCTTATAATTGGCGTTATTGCTGTATCTTCTCATACACACCTCGGTTTCGTTTGTAAAGGTATGCTAGACACAATCATTAGAAGTATCAGATTATCAGTCATTAAGCATCATCAGGTATTTTCTTACCTTAACTGCTATGTCACTACCAAAGGTCGTTTAGAAAGCGAAACCGTGGCGTACACAGGTTGGTTGGAAAAATTGTGAAAAAAAAACTTTTTTGGACTCCTTAAACGACGTGAAAAATTGAAACAGAGACAATGCTAAAAGTAAGTTCGAAGGGAAGAGATAAGAAGGCAGCCTAAGGACGCGATGGGCTAAGAAAAATGGCTCCAAGTTTCATATGTTACCTGAATCCACACAGTAACTGCGTTACAAGTTCCAGAAGCCGAGAAACGGGAGTTGTTGTTATGGTAACTGAGTCTTGGTGAAACCATTACTATCGGAGGGGCATAGAAAGCATCAGTGAACTTTATTATCTATAAAAAAAACAAGAAAAGAATCAGCGTTATTAAGTTTTTCTACACATATGCGGTATATGATATATGTTGTCTAAATAGTTGACGATAATATGTTGTTTAAATAGTTGACGATATTTTCTGTTTATGAATATAAGTGACTGAGAAACCAAAACAGTATAGTTTATTAGTTACTTTACCTGACAGAGGGCCTTGCTTTGTTGCTTGTTTAGTGGTGAGTTATTCTTTGTTGTTACAAGGCCATGGATCAAGGTAGAATTCAGCGTCATCAGCTTAACAAATGCTATCCAGTCCTGAAGGACAAGTGAAAAAGTGTTAACAATGTTATCAATATATTCTTTCTCAAGTCAAGGTTGTTTCTAAGAGACTGGGAGCCCATTGCTCTGAACCTGTGTAAATCACAGGGTACCCAACATAGGGTACCCAACATAGGATCTAGGATAGGATGAAAAAAGCTACGATTTCCTAGTAGGCAAAGAGCAAAGGTAGAGCTCAGAGGCAACTGGGTTCTGCTAGGGCACAGCCCCTGTAAGTTGCAGCAAGGGAGGAACCGCTTGGTTGTCGCGTGAGTCTACTTTCAAACATGTAACAGGTAACAAAAGGAATTCACCTACCACCTTGATGTTTTTATGCAGACCATCAAAAATCTTAGTTTCCCTGAGGCAAACCTTAAAACTGTCTCTGCGTACATCCTCTACCCACAATGCCAAGGCGTCCTGAGGTCTCTTGAGAATTTGGTGACGAGCTGTTACGTAGATGCTCGGAGGAATTGAGAAACGCTGAAAAAGTAAAAGAGAAGGAAATAAATAATCAATTACATTTATCTTTCAAACAAACAAGGGTATGATATAAAACGATGGAAGTGTGATAGAAAAAATCATTTTGAACTTGAAAGAAGCAAATTGGATGGAATTTCCTAGTGCAGATGAAAAACTAAGAACAGTTTTACGAAATAAACACAGAATTTGCAAATCAGCAAATAAAATGATAATCATGAAATTGGCAACGTAGTCACAAAAGGAATCGAAATATAGGATTTCTCACTAAATTTTTTAGGGCAAAAATTAGCAAAAATATGAAGATTGTTAAACCTCTTTAAAGATGTGTTAATGTAAATAAAAAAATTGAAATGATCAAGAAAAGTGGAGGACAGATTGCAAGATAACTTTGATGGAAGAAAATAGAGGTAGCAATATATGTCAGATCTTGGTAAACAAATAAATAATCGTATTTTATGATGCAACAATGTTATATCGCATGACTTAAAGATATAAGGAGGACTACAAATGGAAAGTCTGCAGCTCCTACCAGCTAAATAAAGAAAGAGGAAGTTAAAGCCACTTAGTCAAGCAAAGCTTAAAAAATGACGTAGTGAAATCTTGTGTCTAGGTTTGAGCAAACAGAAATACCTAGTAAATGAGTAAGAACTATTAACTTAACGAAAACGCAAGGGGAAACAGAGGTAACCTTTTCAAAGGCGATCCTTTTACACTTTTCTCCAGTAGTCCAAGAATCCAACGAGACTGTGTCTAGTTGAGCACCAACAGGAACAGATTGCAGCGCCATCCAGTTCACTTTCGTAGTCCCACTAGAACCATCTCCGTACTCTAAAACACAAACTGTAAATTCTTTATTATCCACAGATTCCACCCAAATAGCCGCGCCATCTCCACCACTATAACTGTTTGTTGCGTGGCTTTTGGAAACGAAAACTTTCACATCCTGCCCGCCATTGAAAGGCTTCTCAAAGGAAACCTTTTCACACGCAAACAGACCAGGAGTAGTAATAGTGACATTGCATATTCCAGTTTTGATACTCAGCGCTGGGAAATACAAAAAAGTAAAAATAATAAAAATAAGTGTAAAAACAAAATACAGAGATGAATGATCTCTTTTATACCTTCAACGTCTTGGTAAGAAAGTGCAGCTACGAAGAAGAAAGCCGACAACAACTGCACACGGACTTCTTGCTTGGTACACATCTTGCTTCAAATGAAGAAAAATCCACTCTGTTGAACATTATACCTCTAAGCAATACGTGGCAATATAGTCCAACTTGTTTTTACGTGTTTAGAAGATCTCATTTGCTTTGTTTGTGGGGGTAGGGGGTAAAGATCTTTGAGGTAAGTCAATTGTAAGTTTTACGCGGAAACGTAGAAGGGTAGGCACGTGGGTCCAATCACTGCACTGTCACCACTACCATGGCGATGTATTGAAAAATGCAGGGGAAGAGGTTCCTCTGTTCTTCTGTTTCCTTTAGGTCCTAAAATCATGTTTTAAGAAATAATTTTAGGACTTAAAATTTTAACTTTGAAACGCTTCCAGTTGATCTGTCAGGATATTTTATACTATATATAATAAAGGCAAAAAACACAACAACCCACTGAGGAATACGGGAATTTGTGTGAACCTAGAGCACTTATAATTTTGAATAAAAAATAAACCAAACGAAGATTATATCATTTGTTTTATGTGGCCCAAAATTCCACGGACAGTTATTAGGTGAGGTCTCCGCCACGAAATTGATAGCCGACTTCATCATTTCCATGATGCAAGTTTTACTGAATTATTTTGAATCCGAAAAATTATTTTGTTTACCCCCGCCACACCTGGCCACTTTACAGAGCAAGCAATGAAGCAAGAGATATTCATTGAAAACATTTGAGATTTAGTTATGGGCATTAACAAGTTGTTCAGATTTGCATTTCAATATTCAGTTTATCGAGTCCACACACTTTTTAATTCCCTTGTATGCATATTTAGGTTGCTTATAACGTCTGAATATTTGCTTAAAATCAAAATTTTCATGGCTTTTATTAGAAGCAGCGTTTTCGTCGAGAAATTGACCGAAGTATTAAAAGACAAACACTTTCCTCTTACTTTTGAATGCTTGAAATATTGATACGCTGAATTTCATTTACCCAGACCAAGACAATTATACTGAGATCCGAAAATTGTAATCAGGATACTTAATTACAATTTAGTTCGCATAAGACCACGCAACGATCGTTAGAATTCTGCTTAGCCAGCGTGTTATACTCCTCAACGCCGAAAAAAAGAAAGAAATTTCAAGGACTCGGTACCTCTATCGTTTAGACTCAGTGTGGTCCTCTTAATTGTCCAACCTCGACTTAATTTAATATTTCGCTATAAAGTTTGCGATTCAAGGGAATTATCCTCTTTCGCCGTATTTCTCCTTCATAGCGACCTCAACATAGGTTTGTTCATAGTTATTAGAGGAGACTGGTTATGAAAAAAGGCAAACATCAATGATAAAAACAACAGTGCTGCAGTTTATGTTGAGAGCACGCTGAAAGTACACAATCCTTTGTTTTCTGTTGGCAAATTGTTACGGAATAAAGTAATGCAACGTTTTTATTGGTCAATACAATCAAAATGATAGGAATTCTTTTGAACGTTGTGCACTTTCAGGTCCACAAAAACATATAACAAAGGAGTCTGACGGGTTCATAACCATTCCACTCAATTAACTATGGGTTTGTTACCCCATGTTATCTCAAGACGAACGACTTCCGCGAGACAAAGGTAAATAACTATTCTCGTTCCAACGCGTTGTCTGTCTCAGAAACTATGAAGAGGTCCAATGATTTGTTATTTTCGTTATTTTTTTAAAAGGAGGAAATATTGATACAGATAAGCATAGGTTACAAAAGGTACGTTCAAAATCTTAGAGTTATTCTTTTCAGTGGTAAAGCCAAGATATGCCGGAGTTAATTTTCCCCTTTTACAGATGTTTATTTTGCGTAATGACAACATGGCAAATTACGTAAGAATCGGTGCCTAAGCATTTGTTAAATTTCTGTTAAAAGATAATGTGTAATCTAATTTCCGTTCCTTTTTTCTATTGCAATATTATTATGACTTAAACTTCCACTTTTTTTAGGCTAAAAAAATTAGATTATTGCAGATTAGTGATAATTACCCAATGTATTTATATATTTGCGTGACATAGAGGACATTTGGCTAGACCGTGGATATATACTACTCGGTATGAAAAGTGAATATGGGAAAACCGCTGCAAAAAAACCTTCTTGCTCTATGAGCGCTTTATATTAGGTATAAATGTTGCTCATTTCTATCGTCAATACAACTAATATAAGCACGGAAAATCACAGTTACACGGTTGGTTGTCCCTCAAGATACCACTCACCTCATGATTACTTCCTGATATCTCTGTTTAGAACTTTGTAATAAAAAGAAGAATAACCTTCGTCTTAACTTTGTCGGACAGGCTGATAGCCTGAAAAATTAACCTAAACTTTCTTGGTCAGAACTAATTTTCGGACGTAGTGCAGTCATTTCATCAAGCAGTCGAGAGTATACAAAACGTCACGGTGAACTCAACCTATAATATGCCCATTTTATACATTGAAATCAAACATTTGTTTAGTCATGAAAAAAATTCAAATTTAGGGTATTTTCACTATGTCAATTCAACGTGCCATTTGCTATTTGGCTTTTTTTTTGTCGAAGTAGATGTCAGTCTAGATTCCACAACGTTTTGAGTCATTCTACTCCGGTAAAAGATTGAAAGTCTTTGGTGTTTCAAATATAAGTTAACAAAATGCAAAAAAACTATAGAAAGGATATTTTTTTTACAATAACTGAATTATATCTCGCACGCTGATTGGCTAATTGTTATTATCATTAAGAGGACAAACACATAAAATTTTAAGTTTTATAAGGCAAGACGCGGTCATTTGCAGAGCGAATGCCGAACTTCGGTGTTTTTGCTTAGTTTAGTTTCGTGGAAGATTCACTTTCTGTTCTCTGAGAATAATAGCCAGAAACTTCTGATGCAAGACTTGCATCCCGTTTGGATTCTCTGCTAAAAGCTTAAGCAGAGGAAACTAAACAAGACACCTAGTTTCCAAAAGCGGGGACGACTTTCTAGAAATGGTACAGTTTCAAAACTGCGATTTAATGTTTAATGTTTTTTAATGTTCGTTAAAAGTTAAAAAAGTAAGAAAACAATTCTGAAAGTCGACTAGTTTATTAAAAATAAGCACATTTATAACGGTAGTTTTCTTTTGACAAGTACTGAGTGTTTTTCTGATCCTTTTTTCCGAAAGCAAAACAAACTTTTTGTACAAACTTTATGAAACTTTGTAAGTACCTGGTAAGTTGAATTTAAAACTTCGTGACTATAATACCCACCTTTCGGTTTGATTGTACACGGCTCATATAGCTGAATGGCATTCAGGACGACAAACAAGTCGAGAACTGAAGTAAACAACCAGCCGTACACGATTTCTGTTCGTACTGATCGGTTAACAACTCTTCTACACTGCCAGGCTAGTTTGATCTACAGATAGTTTAACCGTACATTGCTTCGATTTGTTCGTTTACTATAGCGGCTCCAAAATCTTGGAATAATATTTAACCTTAGCCTGGGCTAGCAGTTTACGACTTTATACAGCCCTAAAATACCTCCGTTTTTCTAGGCAATAAACATCGCTGATCTCATTCTTGTTTGAAGTTTGCAAAACAAATTTATGCAGGGCAGTGACGTGACTCAACCTGTCCAATTTTTAGCCAATAAAACTCCGTTAGTCGTTATCAGTAGCCAATCTCCAAGCGAGAAAAGTTATTGACAATAACATTGCGCTAGATTTTCTTGTGTTTTCTTCATTTTTACCGGCAATATTTGACTTTTTTGAGCTTTTGTTATCGTATGCGGCTTGCGGATCCACAACACTTTGACAATGTTATGACGTCATTTCATCATCAATAAGAGGACAGACGATAAAAAACTGGCGTCAATTTGTTAACTAGAGTACATGGAAACAATTCGGTCACGTGACGTTGTATTTCGAACGGAGTAGCCCAGTTCCAACTGTTTGAGCCAGAACGCCTGGTAACTACTTTATAGCTTCAATTCGAGGCTTAAGGGAAAGGGCGCCCATTTTTGAAAGCACATCAACTAGAGCTGGATGTATTAAGTTATGTTCGTGCGTAAAAATAATTTTAAAAGGTCAGACCTCCCTCAAATCTTTCGAATTTTCGAGTTAGAAGAATCTTATAACAAAAAAGATCGTCTTTTGTCCTCGCGCTGATAAAGAGTATGATTCTATGTATCTGCATGTATGCTCCAAACCTTTTAAGATCCAACAAATCATGAAGACCTTGTCTGGAACTAAAAAGTTAGCAAAAGGGACGGTCCCGACGATTTGCTAACCCCGAAATGAGTCCCTCAAAACCAAGTTAAAGTGAAAAACGGATGAATTACCAAAAAAAAAGGAAAATATAAGATTTCAAGTTGGCATAACATTGTAATCGTCAAAAAAAAAAAAATACTACTTCAGCATTGAAAAATCATTGGTAAATTTACAAATGTTGGTATTTTTGTAGGTAGTTGTAATTGGTAGATTAGAAAATTATTGTTCCAACAATGGAGATGAATTGGTTGATTTTTGATACAATGACCACTACATAATACCAAGAAATATCAGCATTAGGCTTTAATCGTTATTCTGCTGCTTCTCGAACTGTTGAAAGCTTTCAGCACGATTGATCAACTACAAGATTCTTTTGCGCAGACTATCTAGTTGTACCTAGATCGTAAGCAAAAGTCAATGTCTAGGGACCCACTTCATATAGCAGCAACTCCGTACATCGATCAGCCGTTGAACCCGAGATTAAATTAAGTGCAATAATCCAAAATTGATTTGAAATACGCGTAAATACCTAATTTTCTTTCCACCAGCTTCAAACAGTGGCAGAGAAAAATGCTTTAAATATAAATCAATAATTTTACCTTAACAAATTAACTAGTGGCAGCGGTGGCAGCGTGGCGCAGTGTGGTTAGGAGCTGACGTCATCATAGTGTTGGTTCAAAT